CAGACAGTCAGACCAAACTACAGGTCACTAAGCATAACCATCCTATCTACCCGTATATCGATCTAACATGTCATAACAACAACTAATCTGAATACTAATGCAAAGGGCCGGCCTTGGTGACTTAGACCCTTGAGTATAGTGAGGATAACTCACCTCGCAATGTCGATCTCAACTGATGAACCAAACTCCCGAATCACTGTCTCACCACAAATCCCGAACTATCCAAAATAACGAATATTAGTCAATAAATGGGAATACTAATCTTGACTAAGAATCCACATAGTCCATTTTGTCCTTTCTCTCTGATTTGGGCCAAGGCTCAATATCAAATCCATGATCCACAAGTCCACATACACAAAGCCCATTATTGGCCCAATTTTCCAAATTGGACCTCATTTAAAGACTCACTACGAAAACTGGCCCAAAATACTCTTATACAGAGGGCCCATCAAAGCCAAAGTCCAACTAGTCCAAAGGTGGCCCAAACCCGAAGCCCAACTCGCAAAAGCCCAACAGGGGGTCGTATGGGCATACCCCTCTGGTACGCGAGGCGTACTCCGTCTCACGTTGACTGAAAAACAGTGCCATTGACTCGGTACGTGGGGCGTACTGCTCCCTATGCGGGACGTATGCGAGTCTGTGCCAAACTCTCATAAGTGCTTAATGGCTTAAGCACTTAAGCCCATATTTCAGATCCATCGACCAAAAGTGTCTTAGAACCATAAAGTCTCGAACTTTATCACTTTGGACGTCCAGAAATCTCTTAATCCATGGTCTTAATCCATTAAGACCTTTCTACTACATGCATGGGACATCTTAAGCCATTGGGACCTCATTTTTATCAATTAGGACCACTTCAAGGGTCTGAAAGGACAACTTATCTTGTCCAAATCACTTCATGCACCAACTTGGGACTTTTGGGACAAGAAAGGGTTCCTTAAAGCTAAAATGGCAAGATCTATAACATACATCCATAAAGTTTGAAGCTTATTACCTTCTGGAGTTTCTAGGGCACCAAACAACTTCAGATCTACTAGCTTGTTCTCCTTCTCCAACTCCTTGATGCAACACCTTCTTCTCCAACTACTCAAAATACACTCTATAAGCTCACACACTCAAGGAAGTGATTAGGGTTTGGGAAAAACGGCTCTAAACAGTGGAGGTTGAGGTAAGGGAGGGTTATGAGCTCATAAGGGTGCATATATAGTACTCAAACCCTAAATATTAGGGTTTCCTTCTGTCATGAGTACGCCCAGCGTACTAGGGCGCGCCTAGTACGCGCAACGTACTCCTCCTAGTCAAAAAATTGCAACTTAGCCCTTAGGCTTTTCATGGCTTTACCCTTCCATCCCCAGAGACTATAAATGACAAATCTTGGGATGTTACATTAACCCTATATAATATTACGTATCATGCAAATCACGAAAAAAAATTGTTTCTTCAACCTCTCAATCACGAAAAAAAAATTTGTTTCTTCAACCTCTCTTTACACTTGCTGCTGCCTACTTCCATCATCCATCATCCATAACAGGTTTCATTATCCTCTGCAATGTTTGTTTTTGTTGTTATATTATGAATCATGTATGGAATGGTGTTTTGAATATGTTTATCATGTATGCAGAGTGCTTTATTTTTTCCTTTCTTTCGTGTAAAAATATTTAATAATTCTAAGTCTTCTTAATTCATGTTCTGTCATCGAACTTCCTTTGCCGAATGTTATTTGATTTCCGTCTTTATTGAATTGAAAACTGTTTTTTTTTTTTTTGTGAAGGTGTGGTTTACACTTTTTCCTTCATTAAAACAACAATCATGACAGCAACAATCGTTGTCAAGGTGCATAAAACCAACATACTGGAATATATCGATGTATTAGGCAACAATGTTTACAAATAATATGGACGATTTATGTTACAATCTCCTAAATGAACATGTAGTCAATAAATTCTGCCACATGGATCATAATATAATTTCACTTTCAATGTTGTCCCATATTATCATTAATAACAATTATATTTCAACTATTTTTTAAAATTATATACACATTATATCATCCTACTTTGCAAATCTGCAATACGATCCCAATATTTGACTTTACCACTTAGACTTTGGCCTAAAAGTTACTTCTTCATGCCTTAATCTTTGGCTTAAGCCACTGAGTTTGTTATTCCACAAACAAGATTTTATAACAATAATTTTTTACTATTATTCGTAACAAACTATGTTGACCAAGTCTATTATTGTCAATTTGTTTTAAGTTTAAATAACAAACTATGTTGACCAAGTCTATTATTGTCAATTTGTTATAAGTTTAAAGGTAATCTCCTTAATCTTTGGCTTAAACCACTGAGTTTGTTATTCCACAAACAATATTTTATAACAATAATTTTTTTTATTGTTTATAACAAACTATGTTGACCAAGTCTATTATTGTCAATTTGTTTTAAGTTTAAATAACAAACTATATTTACCAAATCTATTATTGTCAATTTGTTTTAAGTTTAAAGGTAATTTCCTTATGAGCAAGGGTATAATTGTCAACACGAGCACATACTCTACAAATTTTAATTTCTTTCATTAATCTTATATTCTTATTTATGCAGATTATCATTCCAATTATACCGTCAATCTTAAACACTTTCCAAAATAATTATATGTATATATTTATCATGTTTCAATATATAGAATGCAGACATTTATGATTAAATCGTTTAATAAGTAAATATTATCTTTAAATCTTTTCAAAATCATGTACCCTTATCAATTTAGAAACAATCATTTAATTTAATATTATTAAAAAGGATTTAATTCATCTATTTTTATATGAATTTTTACTTAATATAAAATCACGACACATGTTTTCCAATTATATCTTTATATTTGTTAACCAACTTGAATTCATTATTATCTTTACCAATATTCTTTAATTCCATTTTTTGTATAATCATGAGGACTGTTATAGATGCTTCAATAACTCTATTAGCTAGAGGTGTTGGCAAAATTGTTATTTCCATATGTTCAGCAAATGGACATTGCTTACTTTTGATTTATTACCATATCACATTAGACAAACCTCACAATTGGAGATGCGTTCATTAAAATTTATAAGATACAAGTTTTTTTAGACTGTTATACTAATTATTTTAAATTAATATATATGTTTATTTTTATATTTGATATATGTTATGTATGTTAGGACATTTAATATTATTATGCCTTATAGAACATAATATAATTTTAAGATCCATTTATAGGTTCAAATCTGTGTAATACACATGTTGATAACATAAATGAGTAAAAATAACAAAGTACTTTGAAAGTATGTTGCTATTAATAACAGAAATTGTTCATGTTACTATTTTTGTTAATAATTTTTTTATAGTTTTTAGAACTCAATAAAATTATATATTTCGGGACATAACCCTAAAATAACAATCGAAATTATATAGGTTTTGTTCATAACCCTAAAATAACAAAGTATACTTCAAAATTAAAAAAAAACAAATAATATTTAAATAATAAATTCCAAAGACATTTGTATGTTTTTTATGCGTTCCTCCACGTTTAACGCGGGTTATAATCTAGTATTGTACTGTAATACTTAAACTTGGTTTTAGTTTAGATTTTAAATATTATGATATGTATTTTTTTTTTCAAAATATGACTTAAATGTTTTCAACATGTATCTACCACTTGATTATGTATAAGTATTAATTATATCATATTAGGTTCATTTTTTCATTTTAAGTTTAAAAAACATATAGTTAGAAATTTAATAATTTATAAAGAAAATAACAAACCTAAACATAGTTTATATCTAATACTTAACGAATTACTTTAGCTTTTATTTTAATTTACAAACTTTGTTTTACTTATCAAAATCCTATCAAACAGTTGTATTTTGTATATACTAAAAAGTAAAAATCATATACACAAAGTAAAAATAAAAAAAAAACCTCGAAAAATACTTCTCTTATCCTGTGTCCTTAACTTTACAAGCACAGATAAATTATTCACTGTTAATATAAATTTCGAAAACTGAAACCACACAACAAAAAATAAATTGTAAGAGAAGAGTTATTTAAAATCATGGGAAGTATTTGCAAATTTTACAGTTAACAAATAAAACCATAGATAACTAAGATGTATTTACTTATTATGGTTAAAAGATTTTGTTATTAAAAAAAAAAAAAAAAAAAAAAAAAAAAACTAAACTAAACTAAACTAAATAAACATTTTCTTTTATACTTCTCCATTACATATCAAGTTCTAAAATACGAAAATCCAAAACTACAAAGTTCAAGATCTCAAAATACAAAATCAAGAACTCTATGATTTCATATTTCTAAATCTAGAAATACATAAATAAAAAACAAACTAAAAGATCTTCCATTTTCAGATCTGAAATACGAAATTCAAAAACAAACACACAGTCCAAGATCTAGGATCGATACAGGATGGGTTATGAGTATTATTACGATTCACCTTCAAAGTAATGTCAAACCTAAAATGCAAACAACAGAAGTTACATGATCTTACATTTCCATATCAAAATATTGCAATTCATGATCAGACATTTCCAGATACGAAAAAAGAAATGAAGAAAAAGGATTTCACAATTCATGACTTAGGATACTAAATGAAACCTGAAACAATACTACAATTCCAATTCTAAAATACGAAAATCAAAAGGTATAATATCTAAAATTTACAGATCTAAAGTATGAACATCTAAACTAAAAAGTACAACATCCCAAGATCTAGAGTTGTTTACAAGCTGTAGTTGATCAGAATAGGAGTTTAGAAGATTAACAACATAGTTAGTTGGGTCGACGTCGGATGTAGGAAAAGATTAACGTGGAGGGAGGCATTGGTGACAATAGTAGCGAGGCTAACACAGGCGGCATAGTTAACAAGTATTGATTCAAATGGTAACTGGCTTTGATGTCAAGCAAGAAAACATCGATTCACTCTAAGATAGAAGTCATAAAAACTAAACAGTAGATCGTAAGAAGCAAGGGTTTAACATTATGCATTCTGGTAAAATACATCATCGAAATACAATTCTCCCCATCCCTATATTTTTCACAAAAGGATAAAATTCAAACAGCTTAATCTATTCAGCCTTCTTAGCTTTCTTTGGAGATTTAGCAGCTTTAGAAGGAGTTGATGGCTCCTTAGCAGCAGTCTTCTTCGGCAACAAAATAGGATTGATGTTTGGAAGAACTCCACCATGAGCAATCGTAACTCCACCCAGTAATTTTCCAAGCTCTTCATCGTTTCTAATGGCCAACAGAAGATGTCTTGGGATGATTCTGGTTTTCTTGTTGTCCCTAGCCGCATTTCCAGCTAACTCTAGCACCTGCAATCAACAAAAATCAAGCATATTAGAAAAATAATCCATAAATTAGAATCAATATCAAACAAAAAAGAAAAGCTTCAGAAATCAGATCTAAACTCCATTTTCTTTGTTTAATTCAAAATCAAGCAAGAAAACATCGATTCATGACATCCCTGAATTATACGAATTGAATGGATGAAGACATGAAGATCAGATCCACATTGAGCTTAATGCAATGAGATGAGAGTATAAAACTTACTTCAGCAGCAAGGTATTCAAGCACAGCGGCGAGGTAAACTGGAGCACCGCTTCCAACACGCTGCGCATAACGTCCTTTCTTCAGAAAACGCCCAATTCTACCGACGGGAAACTGCAGTCCGGCCTTTACAGAGCGGGTAACCGCCTTCTTCCTTGGGCCACCTCCCTTCCTTCCTCCGGCACCTTTCTTAGTTTTTCCGGCTCCCTCCATCTTCTGAATTCTGATAACGTCGACGAAAGAGTGAACGAATGAATGAGGCTTCGGATTTCAGTGATGAACAAGTATTGACATGGTTTGATTATGTAGAGGTGGGTGGCGGGGACTATGGATCGATTGCGTTGTTTCAACCGTTGGATGAAGGCTTAATCAACGGTTCTGATTTGTTGAATCACGATCCGCGTGAGATGGGTACAATTTGAAATTCCAATAATATTTCAATTCTCCCGCTAAAGAGTATTGCGACGTATTTTCGAAATAATAAATAAACATGTATAACGGATCATTATATAGTTCTTATTTATCATATATTTTTTTTATGTTTTATTGTGAGGTCATGTGTTTTCTTCATATTTTTTTAAAAATAGAGACAAAATATAATGTTCGATAAACACGTCTTTAAAAAAATGTTGCAATTATATGTTGAAAACTTCGTTATGATGCTGATAAAGTTGAAAAAAAGATATTTATGAATTATTACATTGTGCAAATGGCAGTATTTTAAGTTAATTATATAGATGGTCATTATGGTACCTGACAACAGAATGTGATCTCTTGAGCAATTTGTTTGGTACCCGACAAAAAAAATGTTGCAACTATATGTTGAAAACTTCGTTTGCTAACATCCAGATATAGATTCATGAGACTTTTCTAGTGAAGAGTTTGTTTGGTACCCGACAACAGAATGTGATCACTCAGACTGTTGCATGGTCAAATTTGAGGCCTATACAAAACACTCGGTGCAACCAATTTTTACAAATCGACGACGTATGGTTATTTTATTATTTAAATATTTGTTTATTTATAATTTATGTTTATTTATAAATCTATAATTTATGTTACCAAGATAATAAACTCGTACATAAGTTGAGCTGATAGAAGATGAAATGTGTGTTGAATGGTGGATAATTATGTAACACCCGGATCATGGAGGTACTTAATTTCTTGATTATAGATTTTAGGAAGAGAGTCACGACGTGAGAACGGCCTGACGACCAAAACCATGATATTTCACGTATTTAATGGAATGAGAGGATTAGGGTTGTCCATCCTTAGCCTCCCTCGCTCTCTTGCCTTCTGGAAACCCTAATCTCGACCTGCTTGAGGTCCTTAGCCATTGTTGGTGACATTGAACCACTTATTTTGTGGTTTTTGGCTCATTACATTAGAATAAAACTTGTGTGGAGCATTCTCTTGGCAATGCAACGTCTACCTCACCTTCTTGCAGTGCTTTTGGACCTTTGTAAATCATAAAGCTCTGGGCTTTTTACCTCTTGCGTGATATATCTATTTTAAGCTCATTTTTACATGGTTAAGTGGGATAACAAGCATGGGATCCATAAATTTGGTAACTTTATGGATCATCGAGACATCTTCTGTATTATTAGCATTGGATTTGAGATTTGGAATAGTTTTAGACTCCAAGCATGACTCTTGATCTCATTTTTTCCTATTTTGACCTAGTGAGTGTTTGAGTCATGCATTGGATATGTATGACTAAAAAGCTACAATGTTTATTGTCCTTTGGGTGAAGTCCCAAGTGGTGGCTGAAAGGAATAAGAGCTTAATGCTCAAAGTTGGCCAAGACAGCGCTCACGACGTGAGGAATGAGCCTGTCACGTCATGAGAATGCATGTCCTCCCGACTGTTTTGTCCGGATTAGGTCACGACGTGACCAGGGGTGGGCACGGCGTGAAGATGATTGGATTTGAGACGGGGCGAGTTGATTGATTGAGTTAAACCGCTAAGTTGGGACTGTCACACCCCGATCCTTGTCGGAATCGATCGAGGCGTGATATATTGTTCAAAGTCTCATGACAACTATGTTATAATATGATTAGATTCAATTAAGTACTAAGTATGCAAACAAGATCCACAACATACAAATACAATTCCAAATACGAACAACATTTATTACATCAAATTTAAATTGTCTTGTGGATTTCTAAGGCACAACCTATTTTTCATCAATCTTCATTCTTCAAATCTGCATCATGGGTAAAAACAGGTAAACTACGAGAGTTGGTGAGTAATCTAATTTTAGTAGAGAAAATTGTGAAGTTGAAACATTTATAATTTG